TTTAATTATTGAAAGTAAAAAGATAAATAATTAAAATTTTATATAAATATAATATGTAAAAATTATATATAAGTGAATCTTTTCTCATCTATTTATATATATAATTCAAATCAAAATTATTAAAAATTATTAAATATATATTTCTCTTTATATTTTATCTTAAATCTATCAAAATAAAAAAATAACGATAACGGAGAGTACTTTTTATATTTCTTTATAATTCTCAAAAGCATCCCTCTATGACTAAATAAATCAGATTCCTTATGATTAGGACTAAATAAATAGTACTCTTATTGAGTCAGTGTAGACAAAAATAACACGAGTTTTGTTGAAACACAAGGTCTCTGAAAATCTGTCAAATGGCCAACCTCTTTCTATTACTAGCTTCTTACATTTTTCTCATCTTTATAACATTCAGTTCAGGTATTCTTCATGATTGTATCGACAAATATTGTTAAAGTTTTCTTTAATCATCATCCTGTCTCTGAATTAATTAATGTACAATTGGATACATATAAGGCATAAGTTGACCAAGGTGCATTTTTATGGCCAATTCTCTGTTCTTTCTTAGTGGCAGAGATGGTGAAGAGCAAACTGTGTGAAGAAGTTATGGGAGCATCTAGAGAGGACTGCAACTCAAAGTGTGCATCCAAGTATCCCAACGGCAGAGGATCACACAACATTTCTACTAATTCATGCACATGCTTGTATCGCTGCGACAATCCATTACCAACAACCCAAGTGGATGAAAAGGAATGCAATGCTAGATTAGGTCCATGCGATGAAGTTTGTGACAAGGATTGTTGTGATGAAACATGTGTATCCAAATTCCCTTCCAACGTTACTTTTGGAGAATGCGCTGCCGCAGCAGGCCGAAATAGGGACTGTATTTGTAAATTTGCTTGGTAAATAACATCTCCAGAGTTGAAATAAATTTTGATCCCAAGCTTGAAGGGATGAAATAGGAATCAGATTTCATCTTAATCCCATCTGTATCTGTTGCCTCTTTCTTTTATTTATTTTTTTTAATTTTGAATTTTTCCATAAAAAGCAGTGTTTATTAACAGAATTTATAAAAAATTTAAATAAAAAATACTCAAAATTATACTGTTTTTATAACATATTAGGAAAGAAAATTAAAATAGTTTCATTTCTAATTTAAACATTAAGATGATTTAATTTTTTTTAATAAAAAGTTATTAAAAGGATATGACTTTAAAGTATTTTTATTTCATTTTTTAAAGATAAGGTTCAGAAGTATTTTTCCCCATTTCCATATTCATGTTTTAGGCGTTAGAACCACAAGCTCTTGGCTGGCTTTGAAAAAAAATTAAAATTTAGAAAAAATGCCCAGGCCATGGTGTCTGTAGAAAGGACTTACTTGAAGGGAAAGAAAACACGTAGGATTCATGTTTAATATAGCAAAAAGATGAGTGACACCGCATGAAGCTCTCATTCTTCTTCACTCGGCCGTCCATTCCAATTTCTGTGCGCTAATCTCCGAGCGATTTCTCAGTGGGAATTGAGTGGTTTCTCAAGACTCCGGCGGTGAGTTCTCCGTCAGGTATTTTTCCTCTTAGCTCCTACTGTGATTTTTTTAAAGGAATTTGAAGTTTTAAGGACGGTTTAATTTGTCAAATCTAAGGATTAATACTAGCCGAATGGAATTTAGATCGGCGTAATGAAATATCAGTTTAAGTTTAGCTGAATCGAATGAGATTTCCTTTGACAGTTTAACTTGTCAAATCGAATGGGTTTAGGTTTAACTACTGGTTTTTTTTTTTTTTTTTGGGCACTCTTTGTGTTGAGAAAATGCCCCAGTGACTATCTTATTCCTCAGTCAAATCTGCCAAGCAATCTTTGGGGGTTTGTTTTTCTGGAATTTATGTTAGACCTGTTGAATTTTATATGGGTGTATGTTAGTTTGGTTCCATTTACTAGTACACGACCTCTGTTGGGCTGAGGTTATGTTAATTGCTGGTTGCAAGTAATGAAGTTAGATCTCGAATTTCAGTTCTTTTCCTACAATTTAGCATCCAAACAAGTGATTCTGTGGATGCCTTGCAGTTGAAT